AAGAGCGAGGCCGTGATCTGTATGGGGAGGCCTGTGGGCTTTCCTTGAAACCGGTTGCCCCCCAGGTGTCTCCTGACTGCCCTTGGAGGAGGAGGAGGAGGAGGAGGAGGAGGAGGGAAGAGGTCCCAGTGACCCTTACCCCATCGCTGTGGCCCGGCCTGGACCTCCCCTCCGGGGTGTGAGGGTGCAGCAGGCAAGGCTGTCAAAAGCTGAGGTGAAGTGAACCAAGGAGTCAGAATTGGGGAGCAGAGATTTCCAGGTCAGCAGAGCTGTGGGAGCTGAGGAGAAGAGGGGGCAGGGCTGCGGTGACCCGTACGAGCCTCTGCTCCGTGGTCGCCCGGCTCGTCCACCCCTCTCGCCTTCCCTGTGTGCCGGAGCCAGCTCCCAGGCCTCCTACCTGGACCACTGCAGTCTGCCCCTCATCGGTCTCCATCTCGCCGTCTCTCCATGCCATCAGCATGCTGCCAGCGCTGCAGCCAGATGAATCTTAATACGTCGCCCTGCACATCTCTTGCCGAGCCCTAGAAGCCCCAGTAGCGGCATTGTGAGCAGAGGCAAGTCCAGCCCGGGTGGTGGAGCGGAGTCAAGGCCATCCTGCCTGGGCCCTGCCCACCTGGCAGCCGTGTCCCCCATGGACCCCTCCTACCCTCTGACCTGAGAGAACCACCGGATTCTTGGTCCCCGTGCATTCCTTCCTCTGCCCATGCTGCCCTCCACTGGGGATGCCCTCCACGGGGCTCTTCTCCTCACTGACACAGGTCTCAGCTGGCTTTGAGCTCCTGGGGTGCTCCCGGGGTTTGCCCCAGCGTGGTGCTGGGTGCAGCCTTGCAGGTGTTCCGCCTGCCACGTGTGCGGTCCGCTTCCACTGTCAGTGCCCATGGGGCTGCCGAGCGTGGTTCTTGGCTGGGTGTTTTCATGGTCTTTAACCGCTGTGTTCTGCAGAGCAGCCTGGCCATGAGGTGATGCTACCCTGCTGAGCAGAAGAGGCCACTGGGGATCAGAGAGGTTAAGGGACCTGCCCAAGGTCACACAGGTAGAGAGTCTCAGAGTTGGCAGGCCTCCCACGCTCTGGTTTAACCCCATGCTTTGATCGCCAGGGTGCTGTGCACAGAGGGGCGATGGGTTTCAGGGGAGTCCTGGTGCTGAGAAGTCTGGAGCAGCTTATGGGGGGCTACAGTTGCTCCAAGGTGACAGGCTGAGGGGAGGGGGAGTGTTGGGAGATGGGGCATTTACAGTTAGCATCCTCCCAGTGAAGAGCCTGGATCCCCCGGGTGGGAGAAGCTCAGGGGTCTTGACGTCTGTGAACAGAAGGGAGGATACGGTCCAGACCTGAGAAGGGACTTGCTGGCTGCCCGAGCGAGTCAGAGAGGGGGCTGGTGCCCAGCTGTCGGGTCTGTGTGCAGCTGCATGGGTTTTCTCTTGGGGGGGTGGCGGTGCGCATCACGGGAAGGTGCGGGCCTTGCTCATACCTTCCTAAGCAGCTCCATCAGGTTACCACACCTGTCGGAGCCTCAGTTTACCTGGCTGTCTCAGACACTGCGAGGAAAGGAAATGCTGGGAGGGAGGGATCAGCCATTGGCGCGCCCCGGGAGGGGCCTCGCAGAAGTTGGCTCCCTCCCCTTTGCCGCCGCAGCGGTTGTGATCACGGCTCTGGTCCCTGGGGCAACCGTGTTGCTAAGTTGTGTCTCTGTGTCCTCTTCCTGCATTTGCAGAACATTCCCAGCCTCCAATCTAGTACCTTGGGCAGACCTGTCTCGGGGAGGAGTGCCTTTTCCCATGGATTATGAGGGGATACCGGGGCCCTGGGAGGAAATAGGCATTGCCCTTAGGTGTGTGCAGGGAGAGTGTGCGGGGGGTGGGGGGGGTGGAGGGCAGGCTGAGGGACAGTGCCCCGTTCTCCTTTCCCCCTGCTCCTCCAGTCCCAAAGCTGCCTGGAGGGGTGAGGTGGGGGCGCCAGCCTTTGCTGTCACCCCCTCAACCAGGACTGACGATGCAAACCCTGGGGGAGCCCTGTGCTATCTTTCTGATGAGGCTCCCAGTCGATGAGCAGGTGTCCATGAGCCAAGAGCCATCAGGAACAGACTGTTGCAACCCCCTTGGATGACATCAGGAAATGCCGGGAATACCCCCCCCCCCACATGCCCAGCGCTGGGTGTGCTTCTAAGAGTCACTGATGGAGTCAGTTCGAGATACAAAAAGCTACCGTGCTTTCAGCTACTTTTTAAAAAACGTTTTATCAATTTTTATCTTTGGCCCCTTTTTTTTGAGGCATCACTTACATGTCGTAATATTCACCCATTGTAAGTGCACCTCGGCTGTGTTTTCAGATCAACGTGTTCTTTATTCATACATCTAAGTTCATGCGAAATATAATTTTATGTACTTTGGAAAGCACATTATGAATTCAGTCCATCCGTGTGTCGGGATTCACACGCCTCTTGCTGTCACCCGGGGTGGGTGTGAATCCTTACTGCCTAGTATTATCAGGGTCAGAATGAGCTGGGATTGGGTCGCATTCCCTGGTTGTCCCTGCCCTGTGACTTTGAACCGGTCATTCACCATCTTTTGACCTTTCTGCTCACCTGTAAAGCGAAGGTGCCTGGGCCGCCGTGTGGACGGCGTGAGGTAAGACACAGGGTGAGCCTGGGAACCCACCAAGCGCTGCACCCGTGCAGTCTGTGCTTATCACCTTTATCCAACCCAAGAACGGACAGCTGGGCAGGTGGCAGGGTGACGGGGAGGCAGGCTCGCTGACCATGGCTCCCTAGCAGATGGCACTTGGGAGCACAGAGTGGAGATCCACTTAGGAGGGGTCTGAGCCCTGAGCTTTATCTGCCCTGACAGTGACCCCTTCCCCACCACCTGCACTGTGCTAATGCTGGAGGGATCCAAGGTCCTATTTCTCTGTGGCCCCATTCACTAGGTCAGGTGGCAGTGCCCCTGCCAGCCCCCACTTGCAGTCTGGGGGGCAAGGATTTGCTTGAGATCTGCTGGACCCATGAGCTCCTTGCCACACTGGCCCCCACAGCTGGCTCTCAGCCCTGCCTGCTGACCCTGGTTCTGCCCTCCAGGGCTGCCTTTGGAAAGAACCCAAGCACAGGCTGAGAGCTTCTCTCCTTCTGAGTAGCTATTGACCCCCAAACCCTCCTCACCTGCCAGCCAGAAGGCCCTTCCTTCCAGGTCTCCCCACCTCCTACCCAGGCTGGCCACACAAAGTCAGACCATTAGGATACATTTGGTGGTGCCCAGGCCTGGCTCCATGCTTGGGTGGCCTCCCTGGGCCACCCGCCAGGTGAGGCAGCTGGGTAAACAGGGGGGAGGTGGCTGATGGACTAAGGGCTTCATCTGCTTATTTATTTTAACTCAAACTTCTTGAGCTGCTTTGAAGCTTGGGCTTTTGGGGGATGGAGACACCCCATTAGGTAGGCAGTGGGCTCCACTGAGCCAACCATGTCTCCCCCTGCATCTCCAGCCCTCAGCCCAGCCCTGCCCCTCTCTCTGTCCCCAGACATGGCTCATTCCTTGTGCCCTACCCTGTGATGCCTTCTGCGCCCTTCTCCCTGGAGAGACCCCACTTACCCTTCAGAGTCCATTTCAAGTGCGGCCTCCTGACTAAGGCTTTCCCAGTGTGTTCCTCCCTCACCGTCTCTCCCTTAGACTCTTGGATTTACTGTCTGGATAATTTATTTTGGCATCTAAGTATCTAAGGCCTCTTGTGTTATTCAGCTATTTTGTGTACCACCTGTTTCCAGCGAGACTCTGGGCTCCTGGGAGGCAGGAAGCATAGTGGGCATGTTTTTGTAGCTCCTTTAATATGTGATGCATTGCTGGGCATACAGTAGACACTTAATATTGACAGAAGGAAGGTGGGGAGGTGACTAGTGAGCTGGAATAGCACCAGTTTGTCAATTCTTTTCTTCTTCTTCTTTTTTTTTTTAAGATTTTATTTATTTGAGAGAGTGAGCGAGAGAGAGAGAGCGCAAGCCAGGGGGAGAGGCAGAGGGAGAAGCAGACTCCTCACTGAGCAGAGAGCTCGACACAGGGCTCGATCCCAGGCCCCTGGGATCATGACCCGAGCTGAAGGCAGACGCTTACCAACTGAGCCACCCAGGTGCCCCAAGTTTGTCATTTCTGATGACCTCTCTAGGATGTGTCCTTGGTCCTATTCTCAGCCCCTGGGCAGAAGCATAGAAGTAATTACCGCGGGTGTTTTACATCTGGCCAGAGAGGCTGAGAATCTTGCTGCAGGTCACACCGTGAGTGGACGGGGACTAGGCTGGGAATTTACCCAGGTGTCCTAGCCTCAGGTAGCTGCTCCAGGTGCCGCCTTGTCTATGACAACCCTTCTAGGAGTCTCCCTTCTGCCCCTCAGCATGTTGGCACGTCCGTGCGTGTGTCTGCTTGTTCGTGTGATTGTGAGCGCACGTGTGTTTGTATGTGCAGTGTGTGGGGGTGTGCAGTGTGTGCATGTGTCTGGAAGGAAGCAGCCGTAGCTGACAGTTGTCCAGGAGAAGGCTGCCAAGTCCACGGAGTAATCGTGGAGCACGTGTGCCTTTGCGTGTGGTTGTGTGTCTAGGGACGCGGGTGGGGCCTTGACAATCAGCCTCTGACATGGGTCAGCGTCGCTGGGCTGCCGGCCACGGCCTGCCGAACTGACACGGCAGCACAGGACAAGGTGGGTCTCGGGGGTCCTCGCGGGAGGTGGGCAGGACCTACCGTTCAGGCTTCCCGCCAGTCTGTGGCCCCGGGGATCTGAGACCCAGAGCGGGGATTTGGTGTGGCGGCTTCCCCTGAGTGCATTTCTTCATGGACCCTTCGGGGGAGGGTCCCTCTCCGACGCCTGAGCATCCCCCACCACCATGCCCCCCGCCCCACCCGCCCACTCAGCCCCAGCTTGCCAGTCCTGCTGCTCGTCTCCCAGTGGCCCTCTGCTAGGGAGGACAGGGATGAGGGTCTCGGGGATGAGCCTCGGCTGCTTCCTCCCCCGCCCCGCCCTCCAGCCCGAGGAGCTGACCAACGCTCTGGAAATCAGCAACATCGTCTTCACCAGCCTCTTTGCCCTGGAGATGCTGCTGAAGCTGCTGGTGTACGGTCCCTTTGGCTACATCAAGAACCCCTACAACATCTTCGATGGCGTCATTGTTGTCATCAGGTATGACTGCCCCTCCACCACCTCTCACCTGGAGGAATGCCCGTGGGGCGGCTGGGGCGAGAAGCCACGCGACCTGTGCCTCCGCGGTGGAGGGGTCTGGAGTCAGGCCCCCCCGGCCCCCAGGCCCTGCTGCTCCCCCCGCCCCCCCAGTGGAGGGTGATCCTCTCCGGCCTCTCTCGGCCCTACCTTGCTCAGGCCGAATTTGGCCTTGTGTCTCCTTTGGCCGGACCCCCGTGCAGCCTCCTCTCTCCTCTCTCTACTTCTTGCCCTTGACCCCATGCAGGCCCGGGGTGAGTGAGGACTGGGGAGTTGGCTTTGCTGAGGAGTTGAAGGAGGTGTGAGGCCCAGCCTGCTGTCCCTGCTTGCAAAGTGCTTGGAAACCATCTCAGACACCCGCAACTTGCTTTAGGGTTTCCAAGACCCTGGGAAAGTGCTCCGTCCCCCTAGGCCTGGGGCCAGGAGAGCTGCTTTATTGCTTCTGGAATTGGCTTTAGATTTCATTAGACAAGAACAAAGCAAATATTCCATAACTGGATGCCGTTGCATTGGCCGGAATTTGGGAGAGAGTTCTCTGCTGCCAGGGTGTGATCTCGGGCCTGGAGGGGTGGAGAGGGCTGGAGCTGTCACCTCCATCCATCTCAGGGGCTCCTCTCTGCAGGCCCAGGGGCCCACCTGGGCCCCACTTCCTCATGCCGTGCGGGCTTGTCCAGGCCCTCAGATGCTGCCAGGCCCTCTCGAAGGGAGGGGCAGGGGAGGGAGAGCACGCAGGGGCTCAGGCTCCCTGCCCTCCTTGCAGCGTGTGGGAGATCGTGGGCCAGCAGGGGGGTGGCCTGTCGGTGCTGCGGACCTTCCGCCTGATGCGGGTGCTGAAGCTGGTGCGCTTCCTGCCGGCACTGCAGCGACAGCTCGTGGTGCTCATGAAGACCATGGATAACGTGGCCACCTTCTGCATGCTGCTCATGCTCTTCATCTTCATCTTCAGGTGAGGGCAGGTGCGGCATCCGTGCCGGCTGGGAGGAGGGCCTGAGGGGCAGGGGGTGCTGCTGCCCTGACCCCCATCTTGTGGCTCCTGTGTCTTCAGCATCCTGGGCATGCATCTCTTTGGCTGCAAATTTGCATCGGAGCGGGACGGGGACACGCTGCCGGACCGGAAGAATTTTGACTCCCTGCTCTGGGCCATTGTCACCGTCTTTCAGGTGCCAGGGTAACCAGGCAGGGGTGGACGGGGGTGGGGGAGGTGCCCCCTGGCGAAGGCACTGACCCCCAGCCTCGGCCCGCAGATCCTGACCCAGGAGGACTGGAACAAGGTGCTCTACAACGGGATGGCCTCCACGTCATCCTGGGCTGCTCTTTATTTCATTGCCCTCATGACCTTTGGCAACTACGTGCTCTTCAATCTGCTTGTCGCCATTCTGGTGGAGGGCTTCCAGGCGGAGGTAACCCCCTGCCTGCAGCAGTGTGCTGTGGTGGCCTGGGAGGTCTTGCAAAAAGGGCCCATCGGGCTGGCGTTGGGGTGGGGGTGGGGGGCTAGGGCAGAAGGCTCCAGGTCTCAGGCAGCCGCTCAGCCCTGGGGAGACAGGGTAGTTGTGGGGGATCCCTGGGGCCAAGGTTAGCTGCTGAGTGGGCTTCAGCATCGAAGTTGGCTAGACCCTCCCCAGGGAGCTGGAGAAGTTGGCAGAAGGTGCAGCTGGATCCTGAGCACAGGTGCTCTCGGGGACATCCGGAGGGGACCCATCTGAGCCGAGGGGTGGGGGAAGCATGTGTGCAAGTCATCTGAGCTCCAGCTGAGCTGATGAAGATGCCACCAGGGCCCAGGCAGGGCTAAGCTGCCCAGGGTGAGAAATGAGCCCAATTAGCTGCCGGCATGGCAGAGATGAGCGTCCTATTTCCAGCCCAGGCTCCATCACCTTCGTCACAGGCAGCGTCATCAATTAATATTGATTTGCATTGATCCTGCCCTCACTGTGCCAGGGCTCAGCCTCTGCCTGAAGGGCGGCATGCCGCTCCTCTCTCTGCTCTGCCCCTCTCCCCCGAGCTCCGGGCCGGCCCGGCCTCCGGGCATCATTCACGGGCAGGTTGACCCAACCTAGAAATGCTCCAGGTTGGGCGTAGAGAAGCTCTTGGTCCAGTTCTCTCCGGATGACCCGGATGGAAACTCCCGCTGCGGCCTGGTCTATAAATACTCGGCACACGGTGGAAAAACAAAAATCTATTTTCCGACTCTTTCCCAGCTTTGCGAGGGAGGGCCGTTCCCCGTAGGCCGGCTGGGCTAGTGGGGTGCGGGGGCATCTGTCCCACAGCGGCCTTCGCCTGCTGCCAGCCGTGCAAATTCTGTAGTGATCCATGATGGCATTTCCTCCCACGGGCTGGCCGCGAGGGCAGCTGGTGGTGGAGGTGCGCCCTGCCTTTGGGGATGGCAGGGCCTCTGGTGCGGGGAGGCACAAGGCACTTATTTGGGGGTTCCATGGTCCTGAAAAGTTAAGGGGTGCCACTGTGCTCCCATGGGAGCCAGGATCCCCGTGGATACCCACCACTCTCAGTTACTGCTCTCAGCCTCTGGGAAGAGATGCTGAGTGGGGATGGGGGTCCTGCAGCCCCTTCCCAACCACTGTTCCCGACGGCTAAGATGTCCTCAGAAAAATTCCTGAGGAACTGCATGGACGGAAAGGGAAAACACCCCGAGCCTGTCCCTCTCCCCTCAGCTGGCCTGGAGGTGCCCCGTGCAGACAGCCCCCTCCCCGCCGCCGCCCCTTTCAGAAAACACCTGGCTAAATGGAGAGCTGCGGAGCCGGCCTGGTTGCTAGGCAGCAGCGAAGTGGGCTGCTGGGAACAAGGCAGGTCACTCTGGCCCTGCTGGGGGCCGTGGCTGCCCCAGCCTGAGCGGGGCGGGGTAGGGCCTGGGGCCACAGCCTCCTCAACCCTCGCAGAACATAGGTGCCTGTAGGGGAGGGTCCCACTCAGGGCTTGGCGCTTCAGGCCTGGGGTGGGATGGAGAAAGGAGGTCCAGATCAACCCCCCTCAGGGGGTGGGGGTGGGGGAGGCAGGGCATGGCCCTGGAGTGCCCACGGGAGGGGCTGGACCAGCTGCCCGCTGTCCTGCCTGTGGTGGGCCAACACCTGGGTGAGGGAGGGGAGGGTCAGTCACTCAATGCCGGTGACCTGGATGCTTCCAGAAGCACCTGCCCTCTCGGGTACGAGTTTCAGGGGGTTGTGCATGTTGCTTTGAGGGAGCCCCGCGATCTGGCAGGAGAGGCTGCTTCTTGCTATTGTGATGGCCGGCTTTCTCACAAACGAGGCAAGCCACCTCAGTAGAGGAAGTGGCCGCCCCCGTTTTGTGGGGCATCACTAGCAGGAGGGCTCAAGGGTAGCCCCTGGCTGGCCTTGCCACCCTGCCAAGAGGTAAGAGGGAGGAGCCCCAGGGGGCTGGGCTGGCTCAGTCTTGATTTCCCGACTTGCAGGGGGCAGTGCCCTGAATCCCTGTATATTTATCATCCACACACTTAATTAAATGAACAGGCGTCAGGCCCTGTGTGAGGCCATTAATTGATATTAAACAACATCATAGCTGTCATCCCAGTGTTACTTGTCACATCCCATCCCAGTGGGAGCAGCTGGACCCGGTCTGATTTGGAGGGATGCAGGCTGAGCGTGGGGGATTGGGGAGGCCTGTTCCAGCTCCCGGCCTTCAGCCTCCTGCCAGCCTCGGGCTCCATCCCCTCCTCCTTCCCACCCTCCCTGCCCATTCCCCAAGCCCCCTGCCAGTGCGGGGCCAGTAAGAGGTGAGCTGGAGACTCAGGTACGAGGCCCAGATGTACCTCTTACTCTCTGCATGCCTTGGGACAGTTGTCTTAGCTTCTCCAAACCTCAGGTGCCTCCTCTAAGATGACATTGGTGGTACTTCCTTCCCACCTTGCGAGAGGCGAGCTGGTATTCATAAGGCAGTTTTGGGAGGGCTGGCACCCCAGTGCACTGTAGCTGTCACTATTAGGATTAACCGGGGGGAGGGCTCGGTCTCCCTTCCCTGCCCTCACCCTTCAGATTCATTCTGGCCCGAGGGCCTGTGGCTGAATTCTGGAAGGCCGTTCTGTCCCCTCTCTCCTCCTCCCCTACCCCCGGTGTCTTGTCCCCCTCCCACCCCTGCCCGGTTTGCACCATCCTTTTCTTCATCCTCTTTCGACACTGCTGATGTCTGAAAGCCCGAGCGCCTGTGACCAGCGCCCGTCCCCTGCCTCCCCGTCTCCCTGTAGGAAATCAGCAAACGGGAAGATGCGAGTGGACAGTTAAGCTGTATTCAGCTGCCTGTCGACTCCCAGGGGGTAGGTACGCGATCATGAGTCGGCATGCCGCCATCCCCGTGCCCTGTGCGCCCTCCACTCTGCCTCCGCGTCTCTGTGCTCGTGTTCACGCTCAGCTGCTGTGCACCTGTAGTAGCTGTGGTGGTCACTGGTGTCGTGAGGTTTGCTTCGATTTCAAGTCCCTTCCCTCCCCTGCCGAGGACATTGAGAGGAGGAGCCTCCTTGCCTCTGCCCCCATCCACCTGCAAAGGGCACCATTCCCGTCCCCCGCCGGACCGGTGGAGGGGCGGGAGAAGGAAGGGACTTAGAATCCTCTGTGTGCACGTGTCGGGGACACCGCGTGTGCGTGCCGACGCTGAGGTCCCCGAGGAGTCCGAGTCGTCGGGCCTCCGTGGACTCGGGATCCGTGGCCGCAGACCGTGTTCCCCCATCTCTCTCCCCTCCCCCTTGCCCCGAGCCCCTACTGGAGACCCCACAAGCTGCCTCAGCTCAGGACAAGTGTTTGGGAGGATGTGAGGGTGGAGGTACCGGAAGGTACCAGAATTTTAAATCCACTTCCGTGTCTCTGGCCCCCTGGCCGCCTAGGAGGGCCAGCAGGTATTCGGGGACACGCTCCTCCTCTGGCCCCCGCACCCAGCCTGTGCTCGGCCGTTTCCTGCTCTGGCACTGGAATAGAGGGCCGGAGCCAGGATCCCCGCAGGACCCTACCGTGCTGTGCATCCCGAGCAGCCCCCTGGAGTTCCCGCTCGATAATTAAAGGCCTCGTTAGGGATGTAAACTGAGTTAATGAAAATGATCCCCTGAGATGCCAATTACACAATATTTATGTCCTTATCAAAAGTAGCAATCAAGTATTTCTTAATAACTTCTTAAGGAGAAGTGTGTAATTACTGGGGAACCTACTGACCTGCTAAGAAGGAAAAACTGCCCCAGAGACGGGGACAGAGGTACAAATGGGGCCAGGGGAAGGGGCGGGGTCTGGGGGGAGACCAGGGCACGAAGCAGCGGGCCCGCAGTGACCTCCTTGGGCTGAGCTGCTCTGTCTGGGGTCTTTCAATTGCCTCCTGGGGTCCTCAGGTCTGAGGCCCAGGGGAGGGCAGCCTTGGAAGGAAAGCAGAGGGCACAAATTGGAATTTAGGCTCTAGTGACCCTTTCACCTAGGTCCCCAGCTCCCTCTGGCCTCTGCCACCCCCCTGCCCGGCTCACTCTCCCTTCTCCTCTCAGCCCCTCCTGGAGCCAGTTCCAGCCTGGCTGGTTGTGTTGTGGGCTGTGGGGTGAGCCGTGGCCTTCTCAGAGGTGTGGCTGGTGGGAGGCAGAGGTGTCGGGGGCCCTGGGGAGCTCTGGGCCCCACGCTGTGTGGTCTGGCCTGCACCAGTGCATGCCTCGTGCTGTGGTTGCTGGTTCCCGTAGCCTGTATGTGGTGTGTGCGTGTGGAGACAGGGAGACCTCAGTCCATCCCACTAACCCCTGCCCGGCTGGGACCCTAATGGCCTGCTCCTCCCCCACCTAGGGAGATGCCACCAAGTCCGAATCGGAGCCCGATTTCTTCTCACCCAGCCTGGATGGGAATGGGGACAGGAAGAAGCCCATGGCCTGTGCGTATCTATCCCGCGGGTGCTGCCCCTGGCCCTGGGCCAGCCTCGAGTGGACTCAGGGTCTCTCCCTTTCTCCCTCAGCAGTGGTGTCCCTGGGGGAGCACCCGGAGCTGCGGAGGAACCTGCTGCCACCTCTTATCATCCACACGGCCGCCACACCCATGTCGCTCCCCAAGAGTTCCAGCACCGGCCTGGCTGAGGTGGTGGGCCCCGCCTCCCGCCGCACCAGCAGCAGCGGGTCTGCTGAGCCAGGGGCGGCCCATGAGATGAAGTCACCGGTATGGGGTGCATGTGGGTGCCGGATGGTGGGAGATGCGCAGATGTCAGGAGGGAAAAGAGGAGGGAAGTGGACAGGCCCAAAGGGACAGCCTCTGAGCCATAGGCCTGACAAGCCCCAGGGAAGTCAGTAGGTCTAGTAATGCAGGCAGGCGTAGAGCTCTGGATTCGGGGGGCAGAAGAGCCGTGTTCTAATCCTATTCTTCGGTCCCTTAACTCGGCGACCTTGTGTGAAGCTCAACCTCTGAGTTGCATTTTGGAAGAGGGGGCAGTCCTTACCTTCTTAATACTTCATCGTAAGCACAGCAAATCCCATGCAGTTAGTAATTCTGGACGAGGCACTGTTCTAGATACTGCTCATAAATATTCTAAATGCATTGAATCCTCATTGCAACTCTATGACGTAGGTATCATTATTATCCCCATTTTAGAGATGGGGATCTGAGTCTCAGATTGCCAAACTGATTTGTGGGAAGCTCTGCAGTGAGCAGGTGACTGAGCCAGCACTTTAATCCAGGAGCCAATGTCAGGGCCCATGCTCCTGCAATCTTTTTATACTGCCAGTCAACTGAACGAAGAATAGGTCCCAGTGTCATATCTCATACACAGACGAGGAACTGAGGCACAGAGAGGTTTAGTAACTTGCCAAGGTCACACAGCTGGTTGGAGTAAAAAATCGGAACCCAGGCGTCTGGTCCAGGACTCCTGCTCACACCTCTATACCTGATGTGATGCTGGGGAGGCTCACAGGAGACAGCATGCATGGGAGGGGGGTGCAGGGCTGGGAGGTCTTGGTGGCGACCACCCTCTTCTTGGCTCCCCCACCCCCCAGCCGAGCACCCGCAGCTCTCCACACAGCCCCTGGAGTGCAGCGAGCAGCTGGGCCAGCAGGCGCTCCAGCCGAAACAGCCTGGGCCATGCCCCCAGCCTGAAGCGGAGGAGCCCGAGTGGGGAGCGGCGGTCCCTGTTGTCGGGCGAGGGCCGAGAGAGCCAGGACGAGGAGGAGAGCTCTGAAGAGGAGAGGGCCAGCCCGGCGGGCAGCGACCGGCGCCACGGGGGCTCCCTGGAGCGGGAGGCCAAGAACTCCTTTGACCTGCCGGACACGCTGCGGGTTCCCGCGCTGCACCGCACGGCCAGTGGCCGCAGCTCAGCCTCCGAGCACCAGGACTGCAACGGCAAGTCGGCCTCGGGGCGCCTGGCCCGGGCCCTGCGGCCCGACGACCCCCCACTGGATGGGGACGATGGCGATGACGAGGGCAACCTGGTGAGGCCCCTGCGGGCACAGTGAGCTCTCACCCCTGACCTTGAACCGAGGGGAACTGTGCCCGACCTGGCGCCCAGCTGGACAAGCCCCTCCCGGCTCTGTGGCATTCAGGGAGTTACCATCACGCCCCATCACGCCCCAGGGGAGGTCAAGGGGTGCCGACCCTGAAGCTGAGCTCCAAACTGCCCCTTTCCTCCCAATGCCCGCCCCACCGAGCCGCAGATCCTCGCCACCCGTGGGGCTGCAGCGCTGCGGTCCTTGGTGGATATGAATGGTTTCGGGCAGATGTGTATGAATCTTTCATGGCCCTCCCCCTGTGACTCAGAAATACCCATCACTCATCTCTCCAAACTGATGCCCTCCCCATCCCCCTCTCTCATCTGGACCTCATCGCAAGCCTTGACTTCACACCCGCCCTCACCCATTCACCCCTCCCCCGGGCCCCTCACCACCACCTTTAACCCTGGGGATGGGGCACAGGGACCCAGGACCTCAGGGTTAGCATGTGAGAAGGGGCCAGTGTCTCCTGGTCCCAGGTGTGTCTTTGAACAGACAGCTGTGATGGGGACAATGTTTGATAATTGATATGGCTTCCAAGCCCAGTGGGGAGGGAAACAGGGAGGGCAGGTGGGGCCGGGCTGGAGGCAGAGAGCCTGGGAGGGGGCGTGCAAGGGAGGAGGGAGGAGATGAGCGAAGTGAGCGATGAGAAGGGGATGAGAAGGGGCTAACAGGGAGATGGGGGTCTTAGGAATAAAGGAAGAGAAGCACGGCAGAGAGCTGAGCCAAGTGGGAGAGGCTAGACAGGGTGTGAGGGCCATGGAGCTGCTGACGAAGAGCAGGGTGGGCTCGGGGGACTTGGGGGCCCGGGCCTGCACACGAGTCCTGTGATCCTTCTACAGAGCAGAGGGGAGCGGATGAGAGCATGGGTCCGAGCCCGGCTGCCTGCCTGCTGCCACGAGCGAGACTCCTGGTCCGCGTACATCTTCCCTCCTCAGTCAAGGTGAGCAGGGGGTCCCTGACCTCTCCTCCTGGGGAATGACCCCGTGACACCATCTCAGGGAGGCTAGAAGGGTCCCCTGGCCTAGGGGCAAGTGAGGGAGGGGCCCCGGGCTGGGAGAGCCCGGGGGGGGGAGGGGGCTGCCGAGCAAGGCCTCTCACTGCTGCCTTGCTCGCCTCCTGCCCAGCATTTGCCTGTCTTCCAGCAGGTTCCGCCTCCTATGTCACCGAATCATCACCCACAAGATGTTCGACCATGTGGTCCTTGTCATCATCTTCCTCAACTGCATCACCATCGCCATGGAGCGTCCCAAGATCGACCCCCACAGTGCTGTGAGTCACCAAAGACTAAGCTCGGTGGCTGTTTGAGTGCCAGCCGCCTCCTGGGTTAGCGCCCACGGAGCCAGCAAGGCGGGGGGGGAGGCCCAGAGCGACACGGAGGGAGGGAACCAGGAGTCTCCTTTAGGCCTCCCTGGCACCTGGCACCCGGGGCTGCCTGCCGTGTCCCTCTCCCGCCCCTGCCTCCATTTCCCTTCTGTGATACAGCAGCCAAGCTGGGGGTGCGGGGGGGCCTGCTCCTTACCGGGGAGCCCCACTGCATCCCAGCTATTAGTAGACCCCGCACGTGCTCGGGAGCCAGAGACCTGTGGGGCCCCAGTGGGAGTCGGCGAGTGTTGGGGTGATGCGAACAGCAGGAGAGGCCCCGGCTGGGCTGAGTGGTCTTGCTTCCCCTCCTCCCTACAGAAGGTCTGGGTTTCGCCCATGACCTCTGCCCTGATGGGGGAAGACGTCCTGCCCAGCCTACCCCATGGGCAATGTAGAGTGGGGGAGAGGGAGATGCCCTTCGATCCTCTTGGTCCTGCCAGGTCACAAGTAGGTTTTGAGGCACGTTAGTGGGGACATTCGTCACTTCTGCTTGGCGTGAACCTGTTAGTGAACCTGTGAACCTGTTCGTCCTCAGAAGGAGAGGAAGGGCCAGAGGCCTGAGTATCTGGATATATGCCCAGGGACCCAACCTCTTCAGGACGGGCCCAGCTGGTTCCGGAAGCTGTCTCTCCCCAGCCGGGCATCATAGGCCCCTACCCCCAGACAGTGTTTGCCCCTCACGGCATCTTGCCCCACTCGCTCAGAGTGGCCCCCCACCCCTCCTCACTGCTCCCCCACACTGCCATTCAGATTTCAGTGCTCCTGGGCTCCTAGTCTCCATTGGGGTGAGCTCTAGCAGGGCCAGGGTGGGGACAGAGGGACCCTTTTGAATGGAGGGCCGGGCTGGGAATAGGTGGGTGAGGGGACCCCCACCCCTGGGGCTTGTGTGGGCTGGAGCAAGGGTGGCTGGTCACACGGCTCCTGTGTCCGCCACCTGCCCAAGGCCTTGCTGCACGGCCCTCTGCCTCCATCACCATATCTCAGCCCCGCTCTTGCCCTCAGCGCCTCTACCTCTCACTCTGTCCTGTGCCCGCTTCTCTCATTCCCTTCCTCTGTTTCTCTCTCTGACACTCACGCTCTGCCTACTGCCTCTCCAGACCTCCCCAGCCCTCTCCCTGCCACCCGGGGATGGACTCCGCCTACAGATATCAGGGGACCAGGTCACCTGCTTTCCCGCCCTGCCCCCACCCATGTCCCCATAAATGTGGTGCCAGGGGACACACAGGCTATAGTCAGGCTCCTTGCTTGCCCTGTGGCTCCATTGCTGGGCCACACAGAGGGAAAGCAGGTACGGGCAGAAGGGTGGAGAGTAGGATGAGGGGGGTCAGAGGTCAAGGTAAACCCTGCTCCAGTTTGGAGGGTCTCTGAGATATGGGGCTCAGATGACAGCACTGTTGGGGGAACGTTTCTCCTTCCAGGCCATGCGGGGGGCGGGAGGCAGTGCTGTTCAGACTGTCCACAGAGCTGCAAGTGAGTCAGGGGGCCTGGTGCTTGCTGTGTGTGTGCGCGTGTGTGAGAGAGAGAGGGAGAGGGAGAGGTCTGGGGAGAAGAGGTTGTCTGCCTTGTTGGGGAAGGTGGGGGCCGTTTTCCTGAGTCAAATGTTGGAGGCAATTCCTGGCTTCTGTATGCAGAGCAGCCCTGGCCCACGAAGGGGGCTCCTCGTGGGCGAGACCTGCTTGCTGTCTCTTGCAGGAACGCATCTTCCTGACCCTCTCCAATTACATCTTTACTGCAGTCTTTCTGGCAGAGATGACCGTGAAGGTGATGGGGGGTCGGTGTTGCTTTGGGGCTCCCTGGTTCCTGGCGCGGGCCGGGGGGCGAGGGGTTGGAGAGATTGACCGCAGTCGGAGGACGGGGCTGGGGACCGCAGGGAGGTGGCGGCGACAGTGATGCAGCGGGCGTCCCCAGGTGGTAGCGCTGGGCTGGTGCTTCGGGGAGCAGGCGTACCTGCGTAGCAGCTGGAACATCCTCGACGGGCTGCTGGTGCTCATCTCCATCATCGACATCCTGGTGTCCATGGTCTCCGACAGCAGCACCAAGATCCTGGGCATGTTGAGGGTTCTGCGGCTACTGCGGACATTGCGCCCACTCAGGTGCGCCCCCGGCCCAGCGCCCCCCTCAGGGACAGCACCAACAGCCCCGCAGGGGCACGAGAGCCCCATGAGCCCCTGCTTCCTGCCTGTGACCCCCACAGGGAGCCCTGGCATCGCTTGGCTTGAGCCATGGCCCTAGGAGTTTCCCTCCTTGAGCGCGCTCCCACCGTGACCCTCCCCACAGGACAGACGGCTCAGGGCTAGCATGCCCCTGACCTTGGATAGGCCCCAATGTAAGAGGTCACAGGCAGGGTCCTCATATCCTTCAGCTAAAGGTCTCCCTTGCGTGGCACCATTGGGGGTGACCGTCCTCCCTGGTGAGGTAACAGACTCCTTTCCCTGCCTTCACACACCTCTCAGGGACCACCCACCAGCTAACCCTGCTAGCAGGGCATCTGCTCTCTCAGGAGACCCTCCCACCATCACTCTCCACCCACCCCCCACTCCCATGTCAGAACGTTCCACGAATGGAGACAATACTGACTGACCCACCCCCTCCCCCTCCTTGCCTGCACCCTCCATGCCCCCTGCAAGTTGGTCTCCCTGTCCGCACGACAAACTGCGTCCCTGGGTCCCGCCTCCCTTGAGTTGAGTCCCCACCCCAGCCCCATCAGGTCATACTTTGACATCTGGGAGTGGAGGGGGAACAGGGGGAGGTGGGGGTGTCTGCATCCCATTTGGAGAGATTGGGGGTGGCGGTCCCCATGGCAGGGATCCCGTGCAAAGAGAAGTGCTCTGCACGTGGAGGCCAGAAAGCCAGAGTCCGGGATGGGGACCAGTGAGCCCAGATCAGTGGGGGTGGGGGGGACAGCAGGACAAGGGACAAGGGAGCTTCCGAGCTGAGGGAACCCCTCTTATTCCCCTCTGTCCCTCCCCAGGGTCATTAGCCGGGCCCAGGGGCTGAAGCTGGTAGTGGAAACGCTGATGTCCTCGCTGAAACCCATCGGCAACATCGTGGTCATCTGTTGTGCCTTCTTCATCATTTTTGGCATCCTGGGGGTGCAGGTTTGTGGGGGATCTGGGGGCCAGGGGGCGGTGGAAACCCGAGGTGTGGCCTTCCTCTTGGGCCTTGGATGCGGAGGCTCGAGCTGCTGCTGCTGTCTTTATTCCAGAAAGGAATAAACAGGGACCCTTCCCTCGAGGCCCTAGGCCTCAGGTGCCTTTGCTTCCAGGGCGTTTTGCAGAAAACTAGGAGCCTAGAAGAGGTCCCCAAAGGGGACGAGGGCCTCAGAGAGGCCGCTGACCTAGGGCAGCTGCAGACTGCTTTTGCTGCCCCCCTCCCACACTGCACTCTGGAGAACAGACGCTGCCCTGGCCCCGGTCTGCTCCGGGGTCCCCACCCCTCCTCCCCTGCTTGAGCGGAGCGGGCTGCAGGCCAGGCCTGGGGATCCAGAGCCCAGACAGCTGGCCAGGTTAGCGGCGAGCTGGCAGGCAGGAGGGTGCAGACCCCAGACGAGGCAGGAAGTGGGGGCTGCTGGGGAAACTGGGCCTCTGGCCCGGGGAGGAAACTGGCTTCAGAGGAGAAAAAGATCAGGAGCCGCCTGCAGGAGTCAGCAGGCGCCCCCAGGAGCCGGGGAGCCCCTCCACCCCAGCCTTCCAGAACCCCCTGGCTCCAGCTGTTTCGGCTTCAGGGTAGACAGCCAACTGTCTGGGCGGCGGCGGCGGCGGGGGAGCTCCCGGGTGGCTACTGCCCCTCCCATTCCCGTCCTTTGGCTTCCCAGAGTGTCCTCTTTGCCCTGGGGAGAGGGCTGTCCCTGGTTTCCTAGAATTCTCTAGCCCCAGGGACCAGGCTGGTGTACATTTGCCAACGCTGTGTGGTGCCTCTTGGCACACCCAGCGCCCCTTCGCTTCCTTCATTCCAGCCAGCTTGGATGAGCAGAGGGAACCACTGGGAGCCCAGTCCTGGGCTTTTCCAGTGGACTTAGGTCCATTCTCAGCGGCTTGCCCAGGCCTCCTGGTCCTCCCGGCCCTCCCTTCCCTTCCCCACCCGCAGTCCTGGCCTGATCTGTTCTGGGATGAGAGGGAGCTTTCCAGTCAGATACCTGAGTTCAAGCCCCTTTTCTGCCACCTACAGGGTATTCAACCTTAGCTGAGTGTGAATTTACTTCTCTGAGCCTCGGTTTTCCTCACCTGTCAAGTGGAGTCGATAATACCTAGGCTTTCCCCACCATTAAACCCGGTCGCTTGGCCTCTCCCCCAGAGTGTCGGATTCAGTGGGTCTAGGGTGGGCCTGAGAGTTTGCATTTCTAGCATGTTCCCAGATGATGCCAATGCTGCTGGTCCAGGGACCCCACTCGGAGAACCACTGGCTTCACCCTTCGTAGAAAACCAGTGAACATTCCCCCCCCACCCCCCACCCCATCCTTCCCCGGCACCTGCCCCGCTGGCCTTTTCTCCTTTTCTCCTTGGGTCTCTGCTCCCAGGAGACCGAAGGAAGGGGTGCCTGCAGGGGAGGTTCCTGTCCGTGCACCGGGTCCTCCGCCAGGGTGTGCCGGGAGCTCTTGGGCCCCAGAGCTTGTGTGGGAGGGGTGGGGCTGGGGAGCTCAGGGCTTCCTGTGGCCACAGCTCACTCGGCTCCGTCTCCCCGCGTGTGCGTGTCTAGCTCTTCAAAGGGAAGTTCTTCGTATGCCAAGGCGAGGACACCAGGAACATCACCAACAAGTCTGACTGTGCTGAGGCCAGTTACCGGTGGGTCCGGCACAAGTACAACTTTGACAACCTCGGCCAGGTGAGCTCCACGCTCCAAGGTGGGGGTGGGGGTGGCGATGGCAGGCATCCGGAGAGGACAAGAGTCCACGCGTCACGATGCGCACAGGGCAACTGACTTGCCAGCATCGTCAGCACCTTCTCTTCTTTGGTGTTCGCAAACACAGAGCCATGTAGAAGATGAAATCGCTCATTCACTTTTGCTGGTTTGCTTCCGAAACCCGGCCTGGTGTTGCTTTCTGGATTTCCAGGGCTCTGGTGTCCCTTGCTCAGAGGCCTTGATCATCTCCCAGGGCTTCTCTGGCTTCACACGAGCCACGGAGCCCTGGGACAGAGAGCTCTCATAGGGCCCAGAGTGTGACTCGGGCCTGACCTCTGAAGAGCGAGGGTCCCCTGAGGTGCTCTGCCAGGAGGTGCTCTGGGGACAGGTGGTGGTTGGTTTGGCCACACATCCCAGGTTTCAGATGGTTTCTCCTCCTCCCCTCCCCCAAGGCCCTGATGTCCCTGTTCGTGCTGGCCTCCAAGGATGGCTGGGTGGACATCATGTACGACGGGCTGGATGCTGTGGGTGTGGACCAACAGGTAGGGTTGGGGTGGGCAGGATCCACCTTTGGGCTCAGGCCGCTCTAGGCATGATGTGGTGCAGGCCCTGGACAGAAAGAGGGAGGCTGGCTGGCAAAATGCCATCAAAAAGACCTCACCCCTTACGGCAGAGGCTTTGACTGGTAGCCTGCGGGCCAAATCCCGGCGTGCTTTATTAGATTGCAACATGTTTACACTTTTTTGAATAGTGGCAAACATCTAAAAATTGGTGGATTTCATGCAAAAATCCAGAATTAGGCCTGTGCAGGATTATGTGTTTTATTAGATTGCAACACGTTTACACTTTTTTGAATAGTAGCAAACATCTAAAAATTGGTGGATTTCACGTGAAAATGCAGAAATTGGGCCTGCGCAGGATTAGTCTAAGGATCTGGGAACATAGGGTTTGCCTTCCTTGGGGCAGGAGTTACCTGGAACAAGGAAGCAGCTTCCCCTTTTGGATAGAATACCTACCCCTCTACTTTGCCACAGTCTCCACCCCTCCCTACTGTCTAACATCGAAGCCACATCACTCATTTAGATCACCTGCTGGGGCCCTGTAGCTAACTAAGCCTGCAGACCGCGTCTTAATGACCCCAGGCTGTGGGGCAGCACCTGAGGCAGCTGGGTCTGACGCATCCTCAGGCTGATGCTTCCCCCTGTGCTTCCTGATCCCCACCAGCCCATCATGAACCACAACCCCTGGATGCTGCTGTACTTCATCTCGTTCCTGCTCATTGTGGCCTTCTTTGTCCTGAACATGTTTGTGGGCGTGGTGGTGGAGAACTTCCACAAGTGTCGGCAGCACCAGGAGGAGGAGGAGGCTCGGCGGCGGGAGGAGAAGCGTCTGCGGAGACTGGAGAAAAAGAGAAGGAGTAAGGAGAAGCAGATGGCTGGTCGGTAGTCTTTCCACATCTCTCTGAGTCGTGCTTGACCTTGGCCTTGTGACTGCAGGGGACCAGGGGCTGGGGCGGGGGGCCGGGAGAAGGTGCTCCCACCCCCCTCCTCACCTCCTTCCCCTCAAGAGCATGTCAGCCTTTAGAGCACGCATGAAGCAGACCAGTTCAGCCCCATGGGGGAGGGGGAGTGACCCGCACCCTGCGGGGCTCCCCGGGTCTCAGCATCATACTCCTCAGAGGATGCCAGGCGGAAGGTGATGCACGACCTCTCCCAGCTAGCCTCTCAGAGGAGCCTCATGGGATGAGAATCCTGCTACTTTGCCGCCTGCCGGTGTCCAGAGACCCAGGAACTGGCCCAGGCGCCAGACTCGCTTGCCCCTGGGTTGGGGAGCAAGCACCTCGAACCTGCGCCTGCCTAGGGTCTGTAGTTGCAGAACCGACAAATGGACAATGCGTGAGAGAACCCCAGACCCACTCTCTCTCCCTATCTCCAGCAAAAGCCCATGGCTTCCTGGTTCCTGGTTGTCTTTTTTTTTTTTTTTTTTTTGCCAAGCCGGGGTGGGGAAAAATCTCTCAGGGAAGGTGTGGAACTCTAGGCTCACGACTCTCTGGCCTTAGACCCTTCAGCCCCCTCACCTGGGATCTCCAACATCGGCGTTGGTTGGGGGAGGCCCCCTCCCATCCCTCCTCATGCTCTTAGGCCAGGGGTAGGCCAAGACTAAGGGAAAAGACACAGATTCCAGGAAGAATTCGAGAGAAGGAACAGGCGCGGGAGCCCCTTTGTTTCTCCAGGTGTGTCTGCACCTGTCTCCCCGTCTTCGGGTCCCTGTCCGTCTGTCTGGTACTCCATAATCTCTGTGACTCTCCCTCAGTCACGGCCCACGTCTCGCTGAGTATCTTTGTGCGTGGGTTTCTCTAAGGCTTTGTGTGTCTGTCTCTGTCTGGTCCACGGGGTTCCCTTCTCTCTGCCCTTTCAAAAACCGTCTTCCTCACGCCAATAAGATGTGTGCAGTGCTCTGAGTTTTCCCTTTGGTTTGTTGAAATGTGAGTACCAACAAAGGGGTTAGCGGGCGCGGTGCCCCTCCCTCCGCTCGGCCTCTGGCCCTATCTCCTGCTACCTATGGGGGGCACCTAGAGCGAGGGGAGGGGGCGGGGAGGGGCTGGGGCTGGTGGGGGGGGACAGACCCGGAGCTCCCTGTGCCGGGGGAGGTGGGGCAGGACCTCAGGACCCATGGCGATGGCGAGGAGATACTGACCTCTGGGCAGTGGTGGGTGGTGCAGTTCTCCACGTCCCACATCCTCAACGCCCATGCCCCACGCCCCCTGCTTGACTCTGGGGTAGGGGCCCCATCTGGGCTCTCCCAGTGGATGTCTGAAGCTGAGCAGGTGCACCACCCCCAGCAGCCACGCCAGCACCCCTGCTCCATCCGCCCCGCCCCTCCTTGCAGTCTGCCTTCTCAGTGGCAGGACCTCTCCAGGTGGAATTCTTTTGGCAGGAGGCACTTGTGGCCCTGCCTGACCAGCTGGCTCCCCTTCTGGGGTCTGGAGCTATCTCAGGTGCTGCCCAGGCCGAGGTGTGGGTAGGAGTGGACATCTGTTCTTATGACAGGCTGCCTGCCCCTCCCTATGACTCCGTCTCCCTGCCCTGTGACCCTGAGGAGCTGGCCCAATGGCTCATCTTCCTCAAGTGCCCTGGGCCCAGAGTTTGGGGCTGGACACTCAGGACCAGCCACCCGTGCTCGGGGCATCCCATTTATAGGTGGAGCGAGGGTTGGAGCCAAGGGGGAGCAAGCTGCTTAGAGGGGGCCCTGCCCAGCCCACCTGGTCCGGCCAGTGACCAATGTCGTGTTTCGTTCTTTTAGATCTAATGCTGGACGATGTAATTGCTTCCGGCAGCTCATCCAGCGCGGCGCCAGGTACTGCGTCTGGGGTTGTGGGTTCCAGGGCGAGGCCCGGGGGCAGTCAGGCCCTACCTGCCCCCAGGCCCGCCTCATGCGTGCCGCGATGTCCTCTTTGCTCCCCCCTCCTTGGCTCATTGATTCCATCCTCTTGGGGTGAGGGAGTGAGGGTCCCTGGGGCGCCGGGCTCTGCGTCATCCTCTAGGCCTGTGCTACGCCGGACTGGGAGGGGACGGTCTTGCACGTTCCTTCCTCCCACACCTCTTGGAGGACGCACCTTCTCCCTGCAGGGCTTCCAAGGGCCCAGCTGCCCAGCCCCCTGCGGCCTGTTCCCACTCCTGCTCCTCCCCCGTGTCACACCGTTCGATTGTTAGAGCTGCAAATTTCTCCCGTCTCCTTTTGTCTGAAGGGGAGACTTTGATCCAAGCAAGCGGGATGAGAGGAGCAGAGAGGGAAAGGATTTGTTTTAAAAATGTAACAATGAATAATTGAACAGACTCATTAATAGTCAAGTAATCGCGATGGCCACATCATCGCTACAAACAGCAGGATTGGGAATCGAAGGCCTGAGTTAGCCGCAAGCTTCTCCCCCCCAGAAAGCCAAAGGTTCAGGGGTGAGTTGGGTCCTTGTCTTTGAGAGCCGTGTCCCTGGGAAGGCTCTGGTCCTGCTTGTCCTCCCCTGGTCCTCAGGCCACTGCTCCCCCAACACGGCCCCCAGGCAGAGGGTCAGAGGCTCAGGGGAGCCTGGGACAGGGCTGCAGGGCCTCGTTCCACCCTCTGATGTCTTTGCCCAGTGGTTCCCAATCTGTTCATCCCCAAGGGCTCCCCTTATCGTCTCCTCCAGCAGATCCCATGTTCTAAGAGCCTGCCTTTGAAGTTAGGTGCACCTCAGTAATGACTTTGTTTCACTGCTTTTGCTAATCAAAGGCACATCTAATTGCTCACCAGAGCTTCTGAGCTGCGGAAGGTTTCTCATGGAACAATAGCAAAGAAAGACCCTCTTGCCATTAAGCTGGTCTGTGGGGTCTTAACATGGGCCTAGTATGAGTTCTTTTAAGCTTTTAGAAGTATTGAAAAGGACATAAGGACCCCCATGTGGCTGCCTTCTTGGGCTGTGGAGGACTTGGGACTTCAGGCTGGGAACCACTGGGCTGCACCTTTCCCCACTATTCTGCGCTCCCCCAGAAGCCAGACTCTGGCAGACGCTGCCCTCTAGGTGTTGGGCTGCCTGATCTGTGAGGGCTCAGGGTATCCCTGAGCCTTGATTTGGGAGGCCATCCCTGAGGATTGATGTCTTCTGTCCTCATGGTGCCAAGCTCTGGTGTTTGGCACTGAGAGACCATCTATCTGTCTGGGGGTTCAGGAGGCTCCGGCAGGTTCGTGTCTGTCTTGCCTGGGTCCCACGTCTCTGTGTCAGGCTGTACACAAATTCCTGATGTGTTGGGGGGAGGGGAGGGGAGGAGGAAGTAGCTTCAGCTTTTCCCTTATAGGGTCACCTGATCTGAAGACTGGAGTGTCCACACTTGCTCATTTATTTATCCTGATACCACCCTAGCATAGGGCTAGTCCAAAGAAGCTTCTCCACCAGGAATTAACACACTCAGGTCCTCTTGGCCCCAAGGTCTCCTCCCAAGACACCCACTCAATGCCCCACATCTGTTGTTATCCTCACGCTGCACCCCCATTTTGGGCACATTCCACCATGCTCCCGTTGGCACCTACAGGCACGTCCCATGATGACAATAGTGTGTCTTACCTTTCCAGCTGGTGATGAAGACTCAGAGACCCCTCGCAAGGGCTCGGACCACTCCCAGACCCCTCTTTCCCAAACCTGGTGCTCTGTGTGGTCTCTAGTAGAGCTTTTCACACTGCTGTGTGCCTAAGAACCACCTGAAGAACATAGTAGAACACAGATTCCTGAACACCGCCCTAGAAATTCTCCTGGAGTGCTCTAGGGGAGGACCTGAACATCTGCATTTCCAATCCGTTGCCAGGGGATGGCAATGATGATGTGTGGTCTACCCAGCTGTGTGATGGGTATGAAGTCGCACCCCCTAGTCTGGGGCAGCTAGAATGAACCCCCCATCCCCACCCCGTGCACCACACCTCCCGGCCAGCTCTACTCCCACTCGGTGCTGCTCCCAGAGGAGGCGGCCAGCCAGACCCCGGGAAAGAGAGAAGGAAAGACTCACTGATTATCAGGGGAATGGGCCTGACAGGACACCTGGGTCGAGCCCAGCTTCCAGGCAAAGGGAGGGACCAGGGTCACTGACTGACATCCACTGCGCTCCTGTCGGCCCCCTGTGGCGCTTACGTCCCCTCACCTCTCTCATTCCACCGGGACCCCGTGATCAGGCCTGGCCACAGCAGCTGAAGGTGTGGCCTCTGCCAAGGGGGCCTGTGTCCCTGGGAGCGACCCCTGCCTTCCGCCTATTCCTTGCCACTCTTCTTTGCAAACCCTCTGCCCTGGCTGTGCCTTGGGCTCCACTAACTGCCTGCGCCTGTTGTCCTCACTCACAGCCGTGCGGTCCCTGCTCCTCTCCCGGCTCCTGCCCTGGCTGGGGGCTGGGCAGTCCTGGGGGCGCCCCTCCTCCGACTCTCCAGCTCAGCCCAAGGCAGCTCCTACTGGTGGGCGGCGGGAAGATGGGCTATGGCCGGAGCCCTCGGAGGAGCAGCCCCGTCCAAGGCTACTCCGGGAGGTCTCGACTTCTCTGAGCTCAGAGGCTTGCCTGGAGAACCCAGGCCTGGGGAGCCACAGCGGGGTGGCATCATCCAAAGCCTAAGAGCGAGAGCCTTTGGGCAAATTCTCCGAAGGGCCCCTCTGGGGCAAGGGCGCAAGGCCTCGTGTCTAAACCCACCAGGCGGCTGGCGGGAGATGCGGGTGGGAGTTCCGTCCTGGCTCCATCCTGGCCTCACAATGTGCGGACAAGTCCCTTGTGCGGGGCCTCGTTCCCTCCCTGCGTAAAACAAAGGGGTTGACCAAGGGCATGCCGATCAGACTGGCCCTGGGACCCTTGGGATTTCTGGCAGCCTCGGCACCCGCTGGTCTGGGGTGGGGGCCGGGGCTGGAGGGGCAGACCTCAGGGGCCCAGCACCTGTCACTCTGAGCAACATGCCCTGCCTCTGCCCTGTCGCCCCCTTTGCTCCGGGCTGCCTGGAGGAGGGTCGCAGGCCAATCCCAGTCCGCCTGCCCTCAGACAGCTAGGGCGAGGCCAGAAGACAGAGGTAGTAGCAGCAACTCCCTTTGGCCTGGGGCTGCCTACGTAGTCAGACTAGGGGGACAGGGAAGGGGGGGGCTCTCCCCACCCCTCCCCTGCATTATCTCAGCTAATAACGGGGCTAATAAGGAACCACTTTTTCTAACCTAATTGTATTCAAGCATTTTAGTTAATTCTCCATTCATATTTTAGCATAATGAGATCGGGTGCTCTCGGCACTTACAGAGATTAATGCAGAGACAGTGTTCAGCTGCTAAGGCAACGCAGGGCGACTAGCGCCCTCTGGCTCTCGTGGGTACTGAAGGAAGGAAGGAAGAGGCCCGGCTCGCCTGGTCCGCCCTCCACAATCGCAGTGTGGATGACCCGTGGCCTCATGTTGTCCCCTTTCCCGAGCCTCTCTACCTGCCCCTGCCCTGGGGAGCAGAGGGCCATCTGAGCTAACAAAGCCAGAGTTGGCTGGCCCATGTCTGAAAACAAAATGATGGCCTAACGCAGTCTATGGTGCACCAGAACATTCGGGACTTTCTGCCTCTTGGTTATCCATACCTCAAGGCCGATGCTGGAGAGTGGCATCCGGTGAGCCTGCACATGCAGTTCTTGGGCGCTCTTCTTCCTTCGGCCTTCGGTGGGGGCCCACCCCAGGCCACTCCCTGCCTCAGTTTACCTCTCTGTTCCATAGTCCTCTGCATGGGGAAGGACACTTATATCTGAGCTGGCCTGGACCCGAAGCTTCCTGCTGCCCCTGAGCCAGCTACCCGTGGCGCGGACCTCAGAGGCGGCAGCCCTTGCTGGCTGGCTTCTGCCCTAGACTTTCCGAGGGAGAAGGGCTGTCTGGGACCTGAGGCTGCCCCAAGCCTCCCCATGGGGAGCCTCTTCTTTCTTTGTGGCAATCTGTCAACCGCCTCCAGTTGACATCCATCCCCAACTTGGCCTGGCCTTTCCTCAGCACCCGGAGGAGGGGCCCCCTGCCCTCTCCTGCCCCCAGATTCATTCTGCCTGCTTAGCAGCCCAACCTTCTGGCCCCATGATTTTGTAACTAAGTGGTTCACTAATTACAAGAGAAATATGCCTCTGACAGATCTCAGACAGTGCTTCCAGCCCAGCCTGTAGTCTGACGCCGCCCTGACATCCAGGAGCAGGCGGGGCATGGCCTCATTAGAAACTGGGTGAGTCCTTCAGGTGGAGCCCCCCCCAGATGAATCTGGGAAGCGCAGAGCCCTGTGGCCTCCCCTCTGCACCCCGCCTCCCCCACCCCATGAGGGCCTTCTGGAGGCCCTCAGGGTGGGTCAGTGCGGCCAGCCAAGAAGATGTCCAATTTCCAATCTCCGGTGTTATCCCCAAATCCCAGCTCTGGGTAATCTGCTCTGCCGCCCCCCCGAGGGGCTGAGCGAGGTAAAAGAGCAAGGACCTTTGCCTCTCTGTTGGTGGAGCTTCCTCCTGTAAGACCAGCTATTTTCCATCGTATTGATCTGGCCTTACGGCGGGACACCAAGTCAAGGGCATTATGAGGGGCTGGTGGATTTTGGAGGCTGCCTCGGGGACGGGGCTCACCTGGTGTCTAATGTGGGTGGGGAGCTCTGCATGTCCTGACCCCTTCTGCACCCAGCTGTAGCCAGTAGAACAGACGCTTGGAGGGCAGACGCCGAGGGAGCCCCCCGGCCCCCCCACGAGAAAGGCAGTGTGTGGAGGGCGAGGATGCGGAGGACTCTGGAATGTTGCGGCTCTGGCGTTAGAGGCTGGCGGCTGTGAGGGACTCGGGTGGCGGGGGCGCCGTGGGGCAGGGGCCCGATGGCTGCTCTGCTCTCCCCCCTGCCCCACCAGAGGCCCAGTGCAAGCCCTACTACTCAGACTACTCCCGCTTCCGGCTCCTCGTCCACCACTTGTGTACCAGCCATTATCTGGACCTCTTCATCACGGGTGTCATTGGGCTGAATGTGGTCACCATGGCCATGGAACACTACCAGCAGCCCCAGGTAGGAGCGAGTGACCGGCCCCCCGGGCCCTGTGTCCAGCCATGGGCCCGCAGGGTGAAGCTAACCTCCCCTGTGCTGGGGTACCTTGGGCAACTCCTGGGCACCCTACAGGAGTTCCTTATGCACACCTTGCAGCGACTCTTGGAAGTGGGTATCATCTTGGCTTTACGGATGAGGACGCTGAGGCTCAGAGAGGTTCCATGACTAGACCAAGGTCATATAGCTAGGAAGCGGAGGACCTGACTTCTTCACCCAGCAAATATTTATTGAGTGCCTGCCATGGGCTTCTTTACCCTTTGAGGGTAAAGAAGGCAGACCAGTGAAGACCAGTGTCTGCCCTTTCAGGGTTACGACTCTAGTGAATGTCCAGCTCCAAACTCACCAATGATCTTGCCGCTCCTCAGATCAGCCACCGTCAGCTGTCCTCCAGCCCTCAGGCTCCCCATCTGTAAAATGGGGATGTTGAATTAGTAATGCACAAGGCCCTTTCCGGGCTCTAGCCTTCTGTGCCTTCCAGCACATTCTCATGGGGTCTCCTCCCCATCCCTCAAGGAGAGAGATCCTTTAGCACAAAGTTCGGATCATGCCTAAGGACCCTCTTCTATCCTGGTGTGGTGACCAATGGTCGACCATCATGGCAGGGACAGAAAAGAAAGGTCCCCTTAGACTCCCCTGTCTCCCAGATCCGGAATTGTGATGGAGGGGGAGGGGCAGGCATCCCCCCTGGGCCTTAGGAGACCCTGCGTAGACTGCCCCCTATCCCTGCCAGATCCTGGATGAGGCCTTGAAGATCTGCAACTACATCTTCACCATCATCTTTGTCTTGGAGTCAGTTTTTAAACTCGTGGCCTTTGGCTTCCGTCGGTTCTTCCAGGACAGGTAACAGAGAGCGGTGGGGTGTGGGAGAGTGGGGGAAAGGACATGTCTCCCAGGGAAATGCTGAAAAACCTTTCTGGACTCCTGAGGTACAGCCTCCACTCTAGGACCCACCGAGGGCTGATAGCAGGGGGGAGTGGGGGGGCATCCAGGGCCTGGGGGAACACAGGCAGCTGGAAATCGATGTGGCCCAGACTGGGGCTTAAGAGCACAGAGCCTGGAGCCAGACTGCCCGGACCAGACTCGGATCCTGGCGCCACCACTTAGAAGCTGGTGACCTAGGGTAAGTTACTCAACTTCTCTGTATGTTGGTTTCCTTATCTATAAAAGGAGAAACAATACTGTGAAGATTATGAGTTCTTATTTGTAAAGGCTTTAAAACAGTGCTTGACACCTAGTAAACAGCATATAAGTGCCAAATTTAAAAAAAAAAAATGAATGAATACAAATGAAAAGCAGAGGTCCTTGAGCTCAAGTCTCAGTCTGACCTGTGCCTTTGTGACCCGAGTCAAGCCATGCCTTCTCCACAGGATGGAGAGGCGGGACTGGCTGACCTCCACCCTCCTTTCTGTAGTCACTTGGGTAGCCACGCCTGCCCCCTCTTCTGCGGTGCTCCCCCCTCAGGGAGCTGTGTCCTCTTTCCAGGTGGAACCAGCTGGACTTGGCCATCGTGCTGCTATCCATCATGGGCATCACGCTGGAGGAGATCGAGGTCAATGCCTCGCTGCCCATCAACCCCACCATCATCCGCATCATGAGGGTGCTGCGCATTGCCCGAGGTCAGTGCCCGGCTACTCGCCCACCACCCACCTGCCCAGGGTGACTGGCCCAGGGGGGAAACGGCCGGGGGTGGCTCTGTGGCTGGCCAGGGACTTCATGCGTGTGTGTTCCCATGGGTCTCTCTCCCGGCCCCAGCCTCTGCCAAAGGGGAGGGCTGGGAGCTGGGCCGAGGGCAGGGGTGGAGCTGGTGGAGTGGGGGGCGGCTCACCGGTCTGTCCTGTTCTGCAGTGCTGAAGCTACTGAAGATGGCTGTGGGCATGCGGGCGTTGCTGGACACGGTCATGCAGGCCCTGCCCCAGGTAGCTGGAGGGGGTGTGGGGGGGAGGGGCCCTCTTGGGGGGAGGGGGTGCTTTCCGAAGGGATGGGCAGTAGGGAGCTCAGGGAAGCTGGCTGGGAGACCCAGTGGCACCTTTCCCATTTCTTTTCCTCTCTTCCAGGTGGGGAACCTGGGACTTCTCTTCATGTTGTTGTTTTTCATCTTTGCAGCTCTGGGTGTGGAGCTCTTTGGAGACCTGGGTGAGTCGGGGTGGGGAGGGTAGAGGAGCCAGGGCTGGAGGCCCAGGGGCTCCCGCACTAACTCGGGCCTCTCTCTCCTGCCCTCCTCCTCTAGAGTGTGATGAGACGCACCCCTGCGAGGGCCTGGGCCGGCATGCCACCTTTCGGAACTTTGGCATGGCCTTCCTGACCCTCTTCCGAGTCTCCACGGGTGACAACTGGAATGGCATCATGAAGGTGAGCGCCCACAGCCGCGGGGGCCCTGCCAGGGCTGGCCCTGGCCCCGGGGAGGCAGTCCCACTCCTTGAGCCCAGATTCCTGAGCAAGATGAGTGGCTGTGAATAAAAGCAGGGAATTCCCCTATGCAGGAACACTCCAGAACTCCCGCTCCCCGGGACAGTGTGTAATGCTTTTGCTGCCCGCAGGACACCCTCCGGGACTGTGACCAGGAGTCCACCTGCTACAATACGGTCATCTCCCCCATCTACTTCGTGTCCTTCGTGCTGACGGCCCAGTTTGTGCTGGTCAACGTGGTGATCGCCGTGCTGATGAAGCACCTGGAGGAAAGCAACAAGGAGGCCAAAGAGGAGGCTGAGCTGGAGGCTGAGCTGGAGCTGGAGATGAAGACGCTTAGCCCACAGCCCCACTCGCCGCTGGGCAGCCCCTTCCTCTGGCCTGGGGTCGAGGGCCCCGACAGCCCCGACAGCCCCAAGCCTGGGGTCCCGCACACTGCGGCCCACGCTGGAGCAGCCTCGCGCTCTTCCCTGGAGCACCCCACGGTGAGCAGATGGCCACCCCTGCCGAGAGGGGCATGGGACCTGTGGCCAGTGGCTGGGTGGGTGGTGGACAGGGAGTGGGCAGCGTGGCAGACCCCAGGGCCCCACCTGGATCCTTCTGCCCCTCCTGCCTGGATGCTGAGGGGTAAGCGGTCCCCCGCCCGTCCCCAGAGAGGCTGCCCGCCCTCGCAGCACAGGGCCACCCCAGCAAGCCACGGGCACGTGTGCTGGCTCGTCCACGCCCTGCGCCTCCAGCCCAGTCGGCCTCCCCGTCTTGGCTCTTAGGTTCAAGGCTAAGTTTTCTGTTTCCTTCCTGTTTCTTTCTTACCCTTGCCCGATTACCAAACCTCTTTCCTTCCCACCCTTCAACCTGCCTGATTCCATCTCTCAATCCTTTCCTTACCTTCGTTTTCCCTCTCCCTCTCTCCCTGTGAGCTCTTCTCATCTCTGGCTCCCATTCTCCTCCCTCCCACACCTCTGTCTCCTCTGTCCTATCCCCTCCTCCTTCTCCTGTGTCTTTGTTGCTGGTGTGTGTGTGTGCATACCTATGTGTGTGCATGTGACCTCCTCCTCTTTCTCCCTCTGTGTCTCTTTGTCAATCCCCCGCCACTGCGACACTTCCCCCCGTTGCCCCTCTGAACCCCACTCCCCTGACTCTCCGGCTCCCCTCCTGGGCTGGTCCTCCCCAGGACAGACAGCTGTTTGACACCATATCCCTGCTGATCCAGGGCTCCCTGGAAGGGGAGCTGAAGCTGATGGACGAGCTGGCAGGCCCTGGGGGCCAGCCCTCTGCCTTCCCTCCCGCCCGCAGCCCGGGCGGCTCCGACCCACAGGTTACTGTGCCGGGCTGTGCCATGCTGCGCTGCGCTTCTGGGGAGGTGGGGGGGGGGTGTTTCCTGCCCACTGGGTCGCTGGGGAAAGAACAGCCTCAGGGCCTCAGTTGAGCTTTGGGCTTGGCAGGAGGCAGCCGGGGGTTCTTACATGCTGAGATTAACCCTTGGAACACATACTTGGAAGGTAGGGACACTGAGATTGCACTTCCAGGGGAGAAGGACGAATGGAGGAGGGGTTTACAGAGGGCGTTCGGCAGAAAGAACCTGGACAAAAAGAGGAGGGGGCAGAAGACAAGTTGGCAGTGGGACCTTAGTGGGTGGAGGGAGGGAGGTGCCAAATCCAGGGGAGAAGCGCTTTTGGGGATAGTGCAGGTGGCCAGGGGACCCGTGGAGGGCTATGTCTTAGGCCACCGTCTGCTTCTTCCCTCTGTCCAGCGCCCATCCCCCAAATCTCTGTTTGGTGGCTTTTTTAGCCATGGAGCCCATTAGACATGATGAGTGCTCTCAGTAGCCAGTGCTTTCTGACCTGGTCATGGGAGGAAATGGAAGGTTCCAGCTGAGAGTGGATTCTGGGGACCTCGCCGTGAAATAAGACCAGGTGTCCCCCATAAGCCCAGTCTCTTTCCACAGCTCTGCGTGTTTTTCTTTCCCAGTCCCATCTAAACACGGCTCTTCGGCTTCCTGGGGTTCTCCTACCCACCTCTTCCCCCCTTGTGGCCCCTTCCATTTGGCAGAGCGCCCTGTCATCTCTCCTGGGTCAGGCGCTGCAGGGAAGCCCCCGGTAGGCCTGGAGTGGAGGCAAGAAAACAGGTGTTAGTGGGAGATAGAAAAGCCTGGTGTTCCACAGGCCCTGTTGGGTGGAGGGGAAGGAAGGCAGCTTCCCAGTACCTGGGACACCTGTAGCCTGTTCCAAAGAAATAGACGTTATCCTCACATAGGAAGGGACCCTGCCTCTAGGGTCCCTGACCTCTTGAATCCCCTCTTGGAATTCAGTCTCAGATGGGCTGTAGGGACTTCAACCTGGCAATGACCTAGAATGATCTGTGAGAGAGCCCATCCCTTCCTGAGACCTCCCATCCTGAAGGAGGCTCATGGCGGTGGGGCGGGGTGGGGGGGGAGGGGGGGTGTGGGGAGAGAAGAGGACATGATGGGCTGATCAGGCAGATGGCTCATCTGGGAGGGATGGCCCTCCCCTTCCCCAGGGTGCTGTAGGCACTGAAATCCCCCCCGCAGATCCCTGGTGAGCCAGCCAGTTTGCGTGGTGGCCCACCCCAGTGCGCTCAATTCAGAATGGCGGCAGGAGGAGAGCATCTCCCAGAACCAAAGCTAAAGAGGGCGGGCAAGCTGCCGGCAGGCGGAGGAGGGCCCAGGAGGGGAGAAGCCAGAATCTGGGGGCAGGCCAAGTCCTGCCAGGCTTTTGGAAGCAGACAGAATAAGCAGAAAACAGTCATCAGATTGGCAGCTTTGTCCCCAGCGCCCCCCACGCTGCTCTGTCTGTGCCGAGAGTAGAGAGGTGCTTTGCTGGCCTTTCTTCTTTTTTTTTTTTCTGGTCTCATCTTTCTGAGAGTTGAAAGCCCTCCCTGCTTCCCGCTTCCTCCCTGGGTGGTGGTAGTGTGGGAGGGGGCCATTCAGGTTCCTGGGGTATCTTTAGAATAAGTTTCTGCTTCTCCTGCTTTGTCGGGGTTCGGGGTTCGGGGTTCGGGGTTTGCTCTCTTTGGCGCCTGCCGCATCCTCTCAGATCAGAGGAGGGGCTTGAAGGGGGGGAGGTGTTGTCAGTTGACTTGGGAGAGGGGTGGGGAGAGAGAAGAGAGGCCTTTTCCCCCCCGTGCTTCTGCTTCATGGAAAGGAGGAAAGGGGGGCTCTGTGTGTGCGCGTGCGCATGTGTGTGTGTGCGTGTGTGTGTGTGCGTGCACACGCAAGTGTGTGTGTTGTCCTCGTTTCTTATGCCTGATCATCTCTCTCCCTGTCTAGATCCCTCTAGCTGAGATGGAGGCTCTGTCTCTGACGTCAGAGATTGTGTCTGAACCATCCTGCTCTCTAGCTCTGACGGATGACTCTTTGCCTGATGACACTCACACACTCTTACTTAGTGCCCTGGAGAGCAATGTACTTACACATGGCCCCTTCCTGCTCCCCCAGCCTCCCCAGGGGCTGGGCTGGCTGCAGGGCTCCAGATCCCTCCCCTCCCCTCTCTCTCTCTCTCTCTCTGCCACCAGGCCCCACCCAGAGGCATCCCCCAGCAAGCGCGCTCCGTGCCCCAGGCATCCCTAGGTCTTTCCAGTTCCCCACTGTGGACAAAGAAATTAGACGAGATTAAACTGGGGCCTCAAGGGCCCAGGGGCACAGTTGTGAAAGAGTTAACCTAGACATCCAGGAGTAACACAGCCCAAAACAGAGGTGGCATCAGGCAGCTAGCTAACCAAGGGGCCTGCCTGGATGCGGAGTCAGTCTCTGTATTTGGAGCCTGTGCAAGCCAGCCCTTCCCCGCCCCCCCCCCCCGCTCCCCTCCCTCCCCCCTCCTCACCACATGAGCCATTCCCCCTTCCTCCCGGTGGGTGAAACCATCTCTGCTGCTACCAACCAGCCCTTCTGCCTGGGGAGCTGTCCCTGTCTCCTCCGTTGCTGTCCCTGCGTGTCCCCATGTCCGGGGGGGGGGGGGGTCTTTGTGTTTGGGACAGCTTCTTCACCCCTGCCCAGCTCCCCTTCCCCTTCCAACTGCGAGCAGCTCCCTCCGCCCTGCCTCCCCCCTCCTCTGATGACTTAAGAGACAGGGGCCCCTTCTTCACAGCAGGACCCAGCTGGGGTCCGGCTTTGACCACAGGCTGGGTGGGGGTCCCTAGGGGTCTTGAGGTGGCTGGCAGAAGTGGAGCCTGGGGCTGATAGGGGGAGCAAAGGCTCCAGACTCTTCCAACAGCCCTTACTGGGGCTCCTTAACCGGCTGGGCCTGTGTGGGGACACGGCCCCTCCAGCCTCTCTGAGAACTAGGAATGGAGGGTACAGGGGACCCCCCCAAGGAGGAAGGGGGTCACGGGGAGATGGAGAAATCTTTTGGGAACAAACTTTGACTCCCTCCAGCTGGGGTCAAAGGCCGATTACTGCTTTTCTTTGAAACAAATTCAAAAAACTCACTCCCACCCCCAATCTGTCCAGTAAGGGAGGCCCGTGGTATTCAAGGTATTCAGACCTTGCCTCCCCCACCTCCCATTTGCCACCTGCCAGGGTCATTGAGTAATCAAAAGGGGAGGGAGCCAGGTGGGGGAGCCCGCTGACATTCCCCCGTGGTCACCTGTCACCGAACCCACATTAACTCAGCTCACGGCCCCGGCGCTCTTAAAGCCCTGGGCAGTGAGGCAGTCTCTGCTCTGTGGCAGGCCCTGCTCACTGGGTGGGTCCCCCCATTCCCCACCCCACCCCCATAGCCCCAGCACAGGGATAGGGGGGTGCTTTTAGCTTTTTGTCCTCTGTGCAGCTTCAGAGCCTCTTAATGGGGCCCCGGGAACCACCTCTTGAACCACCTGCCGGGCTGGGCCTGGGAGCTGCTCTCCCTTTTTTGGACACCTCCTCACTCCTCCACCATCCCCACCAGGAGGCTCCGGGGAAGTGACGCAGTATCGGATAGCTTTCTGGGCAGGGACTCCCCCCACCTGCTTCCTTGCTGTGCTGGAGGGCTCATCCATGTGTCTGCCCCCTTTTCCCCCACCCACTAACTCATCCCATTACCGCCTTGTCGGGGGAGGGGATGGGGCCCGAGCCGGGGGTGGGGGTCGGGGTGGGGGTGGGGGGGCGGCTTCTGGTTTCTGTTGTCCAGCTCTGCCTCAGTCAGCCAAACCAGATGCCCTCTCTTTTTCCTACCTCCTTCCCCTGTTCCTTTTGCAGATGGAGCCCCACCCCGAGGAGATGCCCCTGGCATTGGGACCAGACCTGCTGACCGTACGGAAGTCTGGGGTCAGCCGGACGCACTCCCTGCCCAATGACAGCTACATGTGCCGGGATGGAAGCGGCGCCGAGGGGTCCCTAGGTCGCAGAAGCTGGGGGCTCCCCAAAGCTCAGTCAGGTAGCAGGGCTCAGGCAGGCCGCCTTGGCTCACACAGGGAGACCCCATCCTTGCCTCAGCCCAGTCCTGACCCGGGGGGGAGGGGCACTGAGGCAGCAAGAGAGGTCTCTCCGACCTCCAAGGGACCCCCAGCCCACGAGAGTGGCTTTCAATCCAGGATGAGAGGTCTGTGGGGATGGTAGAGGCCCCGGGGGGGGGGGGGGGAGGGTGAAGGTGGGGGGGAGGAGAGGGGAGGGGAGGGACTTAGGTGAGAACCAGACCACTGACCTTCCAGCTCTTCTCTCTCCTCCTGGCCCCTCTGCCCACAGGCTCTGTCTTGTCCGTCCACTCCCAGCCAGCAGACACCAGCTACATCTTGCAGCTTCCCAAAGACACACCCCACCTGCTCCAGCCTCACGGCGCTCCCCCCTGGGGCACCATCCCCAAACTGCCCCCACCAGGCCGCTCCCCTTTGGCTCAGAGACCCCTCAGACGCCAGGTGAGCAGGTGTGGGGAGGTGGCCCGGGGCCTGGCATGCCTGGCACCTCTGCTGGGACCCCTAGGCTATTGGTGATGACCAGGTTGCCACGTCCATGCTTCCAGCAAACGTGTATTGCGTGCTGACCATGTGCCAGAGGCAGTTCTAGGTACCGGGGACACAGTCCTGGACAAAGCGCAAGTGGTCTGGGCCCTTTCGGTGTTTATATCCTTCTCCCTTCTTTCCCTGAGGAGGCCTGGAGACCAAGTTGCTTAGGGACGCAGGTCAACTTGGCGGGAGAACCCACGTCTCTGGACTCCCTTTCCCTGGCCCAGAGGCGCCTCCCAGTTATTCTCTGTACTTCTACTTAGCTAAGGGACACAAGGCACGTTTTAAGGACCTCCACCTTTGGCCAAGCCCGGGGCCCACCTTCCAGGGGCACAGAGCTGAGGCTCAGGCAGCCAGCGGAGGCTTATCTGTCCCCACAGTGACAGGACCACAGCCTGCGCCCCGTGTGCCCTTACATGTGATCATGGCCACATGAGAATCTGCTCAACGCCGCACACTTGAGGACGCAGGCCCGGTCCTCATCCGTTTCCCAAAGATTCACAAAGAGCTTCTGTGTGCCGGGCACGGGGGAGGCAGCCCCTGCCCCGTGGAGCTCACGGGCTAACCAGAGACAGAAATGCCATCAGACCACTGCGGCAATAAGACGCGGCTGCTGGGATGTGCATGTGTGGGGTGCAGCGGGGAGCAAAGAGGAGGGAGGGGTTACTTCTCACGTGGGGGTAGAGGTTGTCAGGCTCTGTGTCACAGGGAACCCGAGCCCATAAAGTTGAGGGGTGCTTGTCATTCGAGAAGGGTTTTCAAGGCCAAAGAAATAGCCTGTGCAAAGGGCTGGGAGCAGAGCTGGCCCAGTGCTTTCTTGTGTCCCAGGGGCTGGGAGCTCCTGAGAGCCACTCCTCCCGGTGTGGGGGAAGGACTGGGGGTGGGGGGAGCAGGCTGCACGTGGCCCCCATCTCCAAACAAGACCAAACACTGACCCTCCTGCCTAGGATGGACCTGCAGGGGGAGGACGGGGTTATCTGGCTTGACGGGGATGGGGGGGCGGGGGACATGGCTGGAAGACAGTCCCCGGAGGGGTTCGGTGGAAGCCCCTGGGCTGAGCGCTCCTCCTACCTCACACAGGCAGCAATAAGGACTGATTCCCTGGACGTGCAGGGCCTGGGCAGCCGGGAAGACCTGCTGTCCGAGGTGAGTGGGCCCTCCCCGCCTCGGGTCCGCGCCTCCTCCTTCTGGGGCCACCTGGGCACCCAGGCGCAGCAGCATCCCCTCCATCAGAGCACGATCTCGAAGCACAGGCCCCCGCCGGCCCCCTGCCCAGGCTCAGAACCCACTTGGAGCAAAGGCCCCCCGGAGACCAGAAGCAGCTTAGAGCTGGACACGGAGCTGAGCTGGATTTCAGGAGACCTCCTGACCGTGGACAGCCAGGAGGAGCCCCCGTGCGCACGGGACCTGAAGAAGTGTTACAGCGTGGAGGCCCGGAGCTGCCGGCGCAGGCCTGCGTCCTGGCTGGATGAGCAGAGAAGGCACTCCATTGCGGTCAGCTGCCTGGACAGCGCCTCCCAACCCGGTCTGGGCCCTGACCCCTCCAGCCTTGGGGGCCAGCCTCTTGGGGGGCCTGGAAGCCGGCCCAAGAAAAAACTCAGCCCACCTAGTATCTCCATAGACCCCCCAGAGAGTCAGGGCCCTCGGCCCCCGCCCAGCCCCGGCGTCTGCCTCCGGCGGAGGGCTCCGTCCAGCGACTCCAAGGATCCCTCGGCCTCCGGCCCCCCTGACAGCATGGCTGCCTCGCCCTCCCCAAAGAAAGACGTGCTGAGTCTCTCCGGTTTAGCCTCTGACCCAGCAGACCTGGAGCCCTGAGTCCTGCCCCACTCCCCCACTCACCTTTCTCCACTGGGTGCCAAATCCTAGCTCCTCCTCCTGGGCTATGCTCCTGAAAAACGTTCCATATGGACTCCAAGGAGGCGCTCCTCCCCGCCTCAGTGGCGCTGGGAACCGACAAGCAGAATTTCCAGAACGTTCAGAGCAGCGGCCTGGCCACCCTGGACCCAGGCAGAGAGAGAGAGGCCCAGTGCAGCTGAGGTTCCCAACACCAGGAGCTACTGGGAGAAAGCAATACGTTTGTGCAGAATCTCTATGTATATTCTATTTTATTAAATTAATTGAATCTAGTATATGCGGGATGTACGACATTTTGTGACTGAAGAGACTTGTTTCCTTCTACTTGTATGTGTCTCAGAATATTTTTGAGGCGAAGGCGTCTGTCTCTTGGCTATTTTAACCTAAAATAACCAGTCTAGTTATATTCCCTCTTCTTGCAAAGCACAAGCTGGGACCGAGAGTGCATTTCAGCCCTGCCGGTGGCCCATCTTCAGCGGAGAGTGAGAACCACTTTGGAAACTGTAATGTAACTTATTTTCTCCTTTAACCTTGCCATCATTTTCTGTAGGAAAAAAAAGAGAAAAAGAGAAAAATAAGATTTTACAAATGAAATGGAACCTTTTTATATATATACATACATACATATCTATATCTATATCTATAATAAAGTAATTTTCCAAAATAAAAAGTTAATCCCGGTCCAGAGTAAAAGCAAAAGGGACAGAGTTAGGCATTTCCAGGGGGCACTGGAGAAAGACCGTCCCTGGAGCTGGGGAGTGGGCAGCGGGCAGGGAGTGGGTCGGAGCTGCCTCTGTGTGCATGAGTGTGTGCGCGCGTGCGTGTCTGTCTGTCTGTCTGTCTGGGGGAGAGAAAACATAACCCTCTCCCTGGAGGGCTGACACCCTGCAGCCTCACCTGGGGAGGGGGGGGACAAAGGCGGAGTTGGGAGGCTCGGCCAGCAGGGTCTACTGCTTCTACCAAAGCTTTCTCGCTTCCTCCGCGCCAGGCCGCTCTGTGAATGTGAGTAATTCCAGATTAACTCTTATTTCTGCTGACAGCTATCAGCCGCACATTGAAAGCTGGAAATTGGCATAATGAAGCTGTTTTGGTTAATGGGGCCGACGGAGACCGGGGGAGGCAGCCTCAGCTGCCGCCGAGGGGATCTGTGGGCTGCTGGGGGGGGCAGCGCTTCTGGGTTTTCCTTCCCCAGCCTTCAGCCCCCGTGACCTGGGACGGCTGGGCTTTGGCCTCCCGCCTTGGGGGTCCTGCTGACCAGTGCTGTGGGCACTGCTCCATCAAGCTGGCCATGGGATGAAGCTGCACAAACAGAGCGGGCTGCTCGCTCCCGAGACCGAGCCCCCCCCCCCCCCCCCCCCCGCGCCCCAGTCCAAAGGCGACCTCCCGGTGGAGTCGGTCTGGCCAGCAGCGGGCTGTGCAGTGCGGAGCCGGCCCCCTGGGGGGAGATGAATGAGCTCCATCAAGGTGTTTACATGGTCTGCTGCTGCCTGCCCAGTGGGAGCCGGCGGAGGAGGAAGGGGGTGAAGGCAGCGAGGGAGGGCGGGAGGGCAGCGAGGAGGAAGAGGAGGAGGAGAAGGAGGAGGAGGATGGGGGGAGGGGGAGGGGCCATTGGTGTGGCCCAGAACCTCCCTTCTGGTGCTACCTTGGCGATACTCTCTTGTCTGAAACCCCGGGGCCAAGACACAGTACCACAGGCTCAGTCAGCCTCTCTCCTGCCAGCCACCCCAAACGTCCACCCCGACCCCACTCCTTTGAACATCCCTACCCCCTCATCTCCAGCACCTTCAAACCCCAGGACCCTTGAAACCTCAAAGGCAGCTCTAATGGGCTGGCCAGCCCCCCATCAGCCTCTCTCTGAACTTGGGATGAGCCTGGGATGGGGGGGGGTGCCAGGCTTCAGGGCAGATGGACCCGGAGGCTTGGTCCCATCCTGTTTTCTAAGCTGGTGAAAGTTTTTCTAATTGCTCTTCTGGACAGAAATATACTTCTTCTTGAAGCAAACACCTGGCTTTATCCTCTTGGGGTGTGCAATAGCGTGGAACTCTTTTTCCTCTGGCCTCCTTGGGTGGGGGCGGGCGCTTGTAGGAGCTGCCTTTAAAAAAAAAAAAAAGCAAAACTGAACAAAATTCCTAGAGTTTTGTCCACCTGGGTCTGCAGATAAAGCTTTTATATTTTTGTAGAATTCTATAGCTGTCTATTCCCTAATGAGGGTGTGACAGTTGGGGAGGGGGCTCTGGGGTCTTTTTTCTTCTAATGGTTGGACAATTCTGGGTGAAGATGAAGCCAGAAAGCTTGGCTATAACCCCTTCTCCTCCAATCCATTCTCCTGCCCCCAGGAACCCCTAGAGTCAAAGTAGATATTTTAGGGGGCAGAATCGTGGCCTCTCCCTTAACTATCTTCCCCCAACAATCGTCCCCCAACAACGTAAAATCTTTATCAGTGATGGAAACAGTTGTATCTCATTAAAAGTGGAAATAGGGGTGCCTGAGTGGCTCAGTTGGTTAAGCATCTGACTCTTGGTTTCCGCTCAGGTCATGATCTCAGGGTCATGGGATCAAGCACCAGGCTCTGTGCTCAGCGGGGAGTCTGCTTGAGATTCTCCCTCTTCCTCTGCCCCTCCCCTCCATTCACACAAAGTCTCTCTTTCTCTCTCCCCCCCAAATAAATAAATCTTAAAAAATAAAAAAATAAAAGTGGAAATAATAACACTGTTGATTCTTTTTTTAAAAAAGATTTTATTTTATTTATTTGACAGAGAGAGACACAGCGAGAGAGGGAACACAAGCAGGGGGAGTGGGAGAGGGAGAAGCAGGCTTCCCGCTGAGCAGGGAGCCCGATGAGGGGCTCGGTCCCAGGACCCTGGGACCATGACCCGAGCCGAAGAAGGCAGACGCTTAACGACTGAGCCACCCAGAGCCCAACACTGCTGATTCTTATTAACAGTAACAATAAGATGCTGCAAACCTCATGATGTTTGTCTGGATGGCTGTTATCTGCTCTAGGGCACATCGGGGAGTGGAGGAGCCTGAAGGAGGCTGGAATGGGGAGGGGCTGGAGGCTGCAAAGGAGGCCTTGGATTAAGGAACCCCCCCCCGGGGGAGGGGGGCAGGGTTGGAACTGGCCAAGAGCTTCAGGGGAGTGGGGGCCTTTGGAGGTAAGAACATCTACCCTGGCACTTCTGCTCTCAGCCTTCTCCTTGGGGGTTCAAAGGAAATTGTGTCAACAGCGACGGGCCCCCACCTCGGGCTTGTCTGCTTCTGCTTCCTCCACCCCAAGACTCCAGGAAAAGGTCTGCCTGGGGGTGGGGGGTGGGGGGTGGGGACTAGGAAGAGGAGAGAGCTGAGCTGTGCTAAAAACAAATCTGAGGCTCTTCTGCAATCTCTCACTTACTCCTCACAACACCCTAACAAGGAGGATAGCATGGCTTTCAATTTTTCACGAGGCAGTGGGTTCAGAGAGGTTTAGTGATCTGCCCAAGATCACACAGGCAGGAAATGGCAGAGTTGGGATTTCATTCTCGGTCTGGCCAACCTCTAGCCCACTGGCTTCATACAACCCAGCCTCTTCTCCTTGTGGAGAAAATGGGGCATGGTGCAAGGAATCCTGGTCATGAAATGACTTGCTGGGGAGGCCTTTTCCAAGGCAGTCACATTTGTGTTCATAGAAATGGGCTCCCTTCTGGGAGTACTCAGAAGCTTAAAGGAACCCACAGTCCTTCACCTTGTGTGGAGGAGGGAGACGTTTAACCACAAGAGAAGGCGTCCCTCAGCTCCAGATGCTCATCCAAGAGCTGGCCAAGGCTGGCTCTGCGATCACCCAGGTTCCCAGGCATGACCTTTCCCTGGCATAATGCTGCCCTTGAAGTACAGAGCACCGCCCCCTCCTCCCACCCCCTTGTCCTTCCTGTCCTCTCCCCGTGCCCCACCCAGACCTCTCCCACTTTCCAAACAGCTTTCACCTCCATCACCCTTAGTCCCCACCCATCACAACCTGGTGCCCCAGGGCCTCTTCTCCCTTTTCCTGGGCCAGCTCACTGGGCGGACCTGGGGGGCTGGGCACCGTAGTGCAGTGAGGACATCAGACACCAGGTGGCAGCACAAAGCACCTTCACCTGCTCGCCGCGTCCCCCATCCCCGATGCCCCTTCTGTAGAGGGACCTAGCCAGGGAGAGGACACCACACTGATGGACACCTTCCACAGATGGATGCTCTGCATAGCCCTCCAAAGGAGGAAACACGCTCACAGGCCCAATGAAGGACTCATCTGTGCACGGGGAATCCCAGGCAGGGGAGTGCAGAGCCCACAGTGCCCAGTGATCCCTGCCTAAGGCCAGGGGACCCAGGACTAATCCAAGACAGTGACTGCCAGGAGCAGTTTAGCTGTGGGCTGGCTCCCAACTCTGAGGACACAGCAAGGCAGGCCAAGGAGGTGGCATCTCCAGCAAACACCCAGGAGGGAAATCTGCTAAGAACATCAGAACTCTGTCTGAGCCCCAGTCCAGGTGTGGGAGCTGCTGCCTGTGGCCCACGGAGCTAGTTAGTTCTTCTTGTTCTGAGAACTGAATCGGGCGCGGCAGCCGGGGGTCACATGCATGCCGAATCAGATCAAGTGCGGGTTGCGGAGGCCGCGAGGGGGCTCTGTGCGGCCCTCACCAGGCTGGAATCTGGACAAAACAAGTTCCGCCCCACCACTTGGGAGGACAGAAGGGGGAGGCTGGAGTTGGGGAGCTGGATCTGGTTTGGGGGTGCTCCAGGCCTTCAAGAACCACAAGGGGCTCAAAAGACTCTGGCAGTGAGTGAAGGGGAGAACTAGAGTAGCCTTTGCTACTCCACACCCCTCCCTACCCTGGTTCCCACCTGACTCTCCCCATTCGCAGCATTTCCTGTCCCTGGGTCTCCCTGTCCCTGCCTTGCTCTCCTTTCTTCTTCTCTCTGCTGTCATTCCTGTTCAGAGCTGTACCTTGCAATTATCTTATCTTTCCATCTCCCTGCCAGGAAATCTCCGCTGAGTTCCCCTGGGATGCTCACTGGTGGGGGAGGGACAGCACACACTCTGTCCGTCCCTCCTGGAGTTGTCCATCCCCAGTTGGAGGGGAGGATGGGGTTGGGGGCGGGTGCAGCCCCTGTCTCTGCTGCAACCCAGCAGGTCTCAGGAGCCTCCAGCTGGAAACATCTTGGTTCTGGAAAGGTGAAAGCAGAGTGGACAGTGCCTACTGCTGGGACTGTGGTTGAGATCACAGTAGCCTCCCTACTTACAACCTCTTCTAAGGACATGAGATACTTGTTTAGTCAGTCAACAAATATTTCCCGAGGCTCTACTTTGCCAGGCACTGTCCCGGGTGCTGAGGATACAGCAATAAACAAGTGTGCTCCGTCCTTCTTCTGAAGGAGTACACAGTCTCCTGGGGGAGGTGAACAAGACAATCAGTGAGTACAATGGGGGCAGGGAGACAGTGCAGAGGAAGGGTGCCTAGCCCGGGATGGGGGCGAGGGAGTTTCGTGGAGGGCTCTGGGGGGGCTGTGGGGCTTGAGCGAAATCTTCAAGGACGGGTAGAGTTTGCCAGGTGCAGAAAGGGAGGTGAGGTGTAGGGAG